GATCGCTTGTTGGGGATACCACATTCAAGTCAAGCATATACACATTGTTTACTCTAAAACCAATAAACACATTCTTCTTATCACTTTCATGCACAATTTTGCAGCAATCTTTTGAAAAGGAAACATTGTAACCTTTGTCGCATAATTGGCTAATGCTAAGGAGATTATGTTTAAGGTTTTCGACAAGCAACACATCGGAAATTGTAGTAGAGGAGGGATTACCTATACTACCTTTACCTAGTATCGCTCCGCGGTTGTTATCACCGTATGTTACATACCCTTTCTTCTTAGCCACGAAGTCTATGAATAAGGATATGTCTCCAGACATGTGCCTTGAGCACCCACTATCAAGAACCCATCTTCTCTCGGTGGACTCGACACATTTCACCTGTCAAAATATAACTCAGAAAAGGGAGGTACCCAATGGCATATTGGGTCCTAATAGGTTAGCGACAAGACGGTTGCGTTTGGGCAACCATTGGTAGATGCCTTTAGGAACAAGAAATCTCCTAAATCGACATTTACCAATGGAGTGGCCTTTCTTGCAACAGTAAAAGCATACAAAGTCGACATTAGAATCACTTTCACTTGCTTGATCCCTAATTACATATGCATATTTTTGATATGGGTTTATCATACTTTTTCTAAAATCCTTTTTATCGATTGCAAATGTAATTTTAGGTTCAAGTGCCTTGTCTAATTTGGCCTTAAGGTTTCTAACCTCACCTTGCCAAATATGACAAGTATCACAACCAAAGTTGAAAGGATTACTATTGTCCTTACAATCCGATTCATTATCTTTCACAATGGAAGCCTTAAGGTCCTCTAATTTCTTTTCGGACTCTAAGACTTTGTGCTCTAAATATGTAAAAATTCTTCTATTAGAAGCAAGTTTCTTAAAGGCTTCAGTTGCTTCCTTGTGTAAAACATCGAATGCGGTTTGTAATTCGGAATGAGACATATTAGATGACATATTATATCTAGAGTGACGTACCTGTTTCTTTTTCTTTTTCTGATTTGCGGAGAGACATAGATTCACGGACTCTTCTTCATCACTAGAGCTTTCATTAGAGGAGGAAGAATCACTGTCGCTTTCCCACGCGATGTACGCCCTCCTAGGCTTTGATGCTCTCTTATGTGACTTCGATTGTTCCTTTTCTTTTCCCTTGTTGTTCATTGGACAGTCCGGTTTGTAGTGACCGGGCTTTCCACATTTATAGCACGTTCCTCTAGTCTTTTTGCCTTTTTGATTGTCATCTTTGGAGAACCTTGATTGCCTTCGGAAATTTACCAGGTTCTTCTCCGAATGTTGGATGCCGTTCTTTCTCACGTACCGGTTATACCGTTTAACGAACAGCCCCATGTCCTCATTTATGTCTTCTTCTTCGTCGTCGCTTGAAGAATAATCACTTTGCTCTTTTGCTTTAGACTTCGAGGAAGAAGCCTTAAGAGCTATGGACTTCTTTTCACTCATCTTTACTTTGTCCTTCTTTTCTTTCCTTTCATGTTGGTCAAGACTCAAGAGTACCTGTTCATGCTCTTGTAGTTTGCCAAACAATGTAGTCAGGTCTAATACCGTAAGATCATTTGCCTCTTTGATGGCGGTCACTTTCGGCTGCCATTCCCTGCTAAGACATCTCAAAACTTTATTAGTAGCAAGATCATTGGAAATAGGTCTTCCTAGTGAATGTAATCTGTTTATGAGATGAGTAAATCTCTTTTGCATGTCAGCAATGGTTTCCCCTTGCTCCATGAAAAAAAGATCAAACTCTTGTATAAGAGTGTTGATTCGAGCCAACTTAACATCGTTTGTCCCCTCATGGGCAATTTGTAGTGCATCCCACATAGTTTTAGCCGTAGGGCAATGGGATACACGGTAGTATTCATCTACACCTAATGAGGAGATTAGAATGTTCTTAGCTTTCCAATCGTAATTATACTTTCGCTCATCGTCGTCGGTCCATTGTGCTTCGGGCTTTGGCACAACTTCGTTATTCTCATTTGTCATGGTTATTTCAATCGGACCATTGAGAATAACGTTCCATATCTTTCTATCTATGGAATTAATGTGCACCCGCATACAGTCTTTCCAATAGCTATAATTTTCACCGTTAAAAACGGGAGCTCTATTGTACGCCCCTTTTGGTTCGTTAGCCATTATTCTATCAATGTTGTATTTGAAGCACCGGAGAACCAGGCTCTGATACCACTTGTTAGACTAAGGCACGGATCTAGAAGGGGGGGTTGAATAGATCCCTTTTAAAAATTTGAGTGGCGCTACCAATAAAATTGGTTTTCAAAATTGTTTTCAAATGCGGAAGCGGCCTTGGAAAATATAGTCTAAAACGAACAACTATTGGAGAGCCGGATATGCGTCAAGCGGATGAATTTAAGACGATAACGGATAGTAAATCACTACACACTTTTATGCAAAACTCAGATGTGATTCACTCGTACTATTTCCTTATTCCAATGATCAAAAATTACACCAAAACTAGCAGCAAAATTAAGGCAATTTTAGTTCAGCACTTTTGTCGAACAGTTGGTGTGCACAAATACCTTAAATGATATTTGTGTTGAATGAGTGATTGAAAATTTTAGTTCAGCACTTTTGTCGAACAGTTGGTGTGCACAAATACCTTAAATGATATTTGTGTTGAATGAGTGATTGAAAAAGCCTTAGTACAGTATTTCTATTGTACTTAGTAGTTAAAAAACAGTGTTTCACCAACTCACTCAATCAATACTACAATTTGACAAAATCACTTATTCTAGAATCACTTAATTTTTAAGCTGTAATTGAAAATGCAGAAAATAAAGGAACACAAGATTTGATGAGGCAGTTCCCCCAGTCGTCCTCGCGTTGGGGTACGTCTGCCCTCAATTCTACAATGAGAATTGAGATATGTATTGAATAGATATCACCTGTTTGGTAGAACAGTTATACACAAGAATCGATAGACAATTGATACAAACAATCTTAATGTTGCTGATAATTTCTACCACTTCTTGCCCCTTGATTCAAGATGAATCAAGTCCTCCAATTTGATGTGAATGACCTCCGATTGCAGCCACCTTATTGACAACTCTTCCGTTGATCAAACCTTCGGCACGGCTGATCTTAGACACACCCAAATTGAACCCGGAACGTCTTCAACCTTTCAACGCCCTAGCTACTAGATTGATCAACCTTCCGCTAATCAATCACCTTCGCACTCGCTTGATTGTTGAACCGACGATTCCGTAACAAAAGCCTTCAAAACCTGTAGTCTTGATAGGTAAAACCTCAAAGGTTTTCTCCCAAGAAACACCTGCACCAGCTTCCACTCGAACCGGATCTTCAATCACGCGTTCGAACCTTATCACCGTCGAGCAAACCACAAACCGCAGCAAAAAAATTGATTATCTGTAATTTGAGGATTTGTGAGTTGATTGAACGATGAAGATGAAGAACACTGATGCACCTCTTTCACGTTTCTTGACCTGAACACTTTCTCACAAATGCTTTCAAAAATGTTAGTTGTTAAAATTGAAAAGACAGCTATTTATAGTAATATACAAAACAGACAGTTGACAGATCAATGAAACATAGCAGAATTTCTGTTTCTGCGCGCGAACGGTCGACCATAGGGTCGGCGTGCGCTGAGCCGTGTGACACTCAAACTGTCATGCACCGAGTCAGCGGTCGACGCATGATCTTCATGCGCTGAGCCGTCTGATTCTTAAACCTGCATGCGCCAAGTTAACGGTCGACGCATGACCTTCATGCGCTGACCCGTGTGAACTGAATGAAACTGTGTGCTGACGGTATGGTCGGCTCATGGTTCAAAAATCTGCAAAAACATAAATTTCTACAGCTTTTTGTGCATTACGTCATTGTAAAAATTGAATCATAAGTAGCGTGAATGATTTAAACGAAAGAAGGATATCTCTTAGCAAGTTGTCATCATCAAAAACCAGAGGCACGCTTGTGTTGGTAGATACTTTGCCTTCACAAGTTTCAGCCTATAGTGATCTTTGACTGACATTTCCATAGACATTACCTCTTTTAGATATTTCTGAATTTCTTCAATAGTGAACTTCACTATACCACTGCAGTGTAGAACCGGATGCTTGAAGCTTGATTCACAGGACGTGGCTGCAACATTGACACTATTGGCTTTGTATCCTGTGTATTTTCATTACTTGTCACAATGTCTTGAGAAACAGAAGACGGAGGAGATGTCTGCAAGCTTGGAACTCCTTGACTGTTCAGCCGCAAAATCAGTTGTACTAGAACACAAGCCACTTTTCGCAGTCATAGCTAATACAACATGTTCACACTCTGTTCTTAGCATTTTATTCTCATTAGCATGGTTCTCGGCAACAATAGCAACATCCTTGTCATAAATAAATCAGTTTGCAACACGTTTAATTGTACTGGTATCAACGGCATCAATTCTGGCAAACAATTCAGCAAACGGGATTCTTCGACCATATGTGAGTAGTTGGATTAATATCTTCAGCTACAGGGCTTGTTCCATCAATGTGAAGCAGAAGCGAAGATTTTACGAGCACGTGTAATATCATCCTCTGAAACCTGATAAGCCAACTTGGTTGTATTGTACACTATTGCATAAGCCAAATCATCCAGGAAAACTGGCTTAGCAACACCAAAAAGACCTGTGTCCTTAAAATCCATGGTTCCACCCTTGCTGTCTGTTAGCCTTCCATCTTCAAGGATCTGAAGCATCATGTTGAATACATCAGGATGGGCTTTCTCAATCTCATCAAAGAGTACAACAGTGTAAGGACGACGCCGAACTGCTTCAGTTAATTAACCGCCTTCGGTGTAACCAACGTATCCTGGAGGTGAACCAATAAGTTTGGAGACTATGTGCCTTGACTTTCAACCAGATTTTCTCTCACTTTCAGCCCATGAAGTTGTTGCTTGCAGTGCTTGACCTGTTGTCGTTGCCTCTCTATCAACAATGCTAAACTTCTATGCTTCAGGAAAGTCCATGCCAACAACAGAAGTAACATTTATGCGCACCTTGGTCACTGTTCTATCTCAAGAACCGGATAATGAACAGAAAGTTCTTAAAACCTTAAAACATGCCCATACACGAGCATCTGAACTTGGTTCTGATTGCTTCTTTGGAAAAGATGAGGTTGGAATACGTGAGCTACATTGGTTTGCTGTGACTTCATGGAATTATGGTACAAAGACAGGACATGATAAGAACTATGAGTTGTCTGCTGAGTTTTTAGGACTTGCATCAAATTTTTACGCTCTAGTTAAAGGGTCTAATGATGAGAACAATGTCATGGTTTGTAAGTCATCAATGATAGCTTTAGAATTTCAGAGGAAGGCTGCTATGTCAGAAACTGAAGTCAAACAAGCTGTAACTTTACTAGATAGAGCTGGGCAGATGCTAAAATCAAATTCAGCTGGGAACTCTGTTAATTATAGCCAATACCATTGCACCTGATCTTTTCTTCATGCACACATTCTGTGCTTATGATGTACAAGGAAGGTTAAATGACTTAGGATCATAACTCTTCTCAGTGAAAAGTCTTACCAGTTCAAAGGCTAGCAAGCCTCAGCGCCTTCTTCAGATAGGCCTACATGCCTCACAGGGGCCACAGTCTAATCACGAAGTAGCAACCTTTAACTCTACAGTATTATCATTTCCGGTATTCGATATGTCAATTATGCGAATAGCCTCCCGTAGTCCACTTATCATTGCAGCACTAACAGTGTCATGGTGCTCTTTGCAGGTTGCTGCATGAACAAATTCTATAGCTCGCTTCAATGCATACCACTCAACTTAATTTCTCATTGATGAAAAGCATCACATTGATTTCCTTGGCAGCATATTTATCATTCAACTTCAATCAGATTGCGAGCAGCTGAGACCCCGTAAACTGTTCCACTCTTATCCGATGCAACACCGACTAACTTAACACCGAATGATAATGTCGTTCCCGGTGACGTTTCTGGTGAAGTTATTGCGGTCGGTAATGGATGAATCAGTTTAGGAACCACAACAAGGTCTCTACCCAAAACTAATATTGCTCTTGCTTCATTTGCAGTACCACTATAATTTGTAGCAGAGAAAAGTGTGATCAGATGTCCCTGGGCAAAACGCTCAAACCCATCCATCACGCATTCATGTGCTCGGATAATTAGCTGAAGATCATTGTTGTTGCAAAATTCCATCACTCGACCAGGCCCAAAAGTAACTAGTCTAGGACCTCAAGCATTTGGCTGCAGTACTTCTACACTGTCATTCTCTGTAGGATCAAACCACAACAGATCCATAAGCACAATTGACCCCACTTCCATTGGAATTGGTCGTTGAATATTCTCAAGTTGTTCTACATGATTTATTGAACGACCACTCCCTCCATGCATGAAAATAATATTCTTCTCAATTAAATCAGCTAAAGGAAGCCAATTAAATAGCCAGTTAATCCGATGCCTCTACCAAATTTCGTTTCTCTCAAGCAGATGATCACATTTTGTGGTCATTTCTTTATGTGACATGGAGATTATTTCATGATCTGCATTAGAAACTTCAAGTTTATGAATAGTGACGTTTAGCATCACCACCACAGCTACAAGTATTCTTCTCATACTATCTGCAAGTAGCCTCTTGAAAGTCTGTTACCGGAGAGAAATCAACAATGGTTGGATGACCGACATAGAACTTTGCAGTGATGTTTTCAATAGCATTTGCATCAGGTTCTTCCTCAATATCAGCAACGACAAGTACTCTTGGAGGATTCTCACTCAGTAACTTGATTAACACAGAAATTGCAGCATGTTGCTCTCTTTTTGAACCAGTTTAAGAGCTTTTGCTAGAAGTTCCAAAGGAATAAGTGGGTTTTGTAGTGATGTTATTGATTTGTTGAATTAAGAAACCAATGCTTGTAATTCTAAAATGTGGTGAGATGGCTTGGTTACTTTATTTTTCAGCATTCCTTTTGATGCATTTGGGCCATAAATTCTCAATGCATGGTCAATTGATGAGTAGACTTGAAGAGCTCGATAGGATTCACGGTTGCATTTTACAACGTGAACAATTTTCTTTCACATACAATGATCTAGACTGCAAATATAAAATGAGCTGCGAAGAAGGAGATTTTGGGTTGTCCTTTTTCCATGTATTAGTTCCATTGTACCAAAGTCATTCCACAGTATTTCCCATACTATTGGACAAGGATCCTTTGCAGGGCTGAACTTCCTCTGAGCAGTAATATTGGACGGTTGTTGTAGAAGTATGGCTTGCATGATACATTTGGTCATGGGCTTAGTGATGTTTATGAGAGGCTTGGAAAATAATAGTAATAGGAAGCATCAGTTCAGACAAGTTGGAAATTTTCACATGTGATGCCTTGGAGGAAAGCTTCATGTAGATAACATCTTTTATGAGATCATCCCTTGGTTTCCATGCCTTGGAAATTACTTGATGACAAAGGCCTGACATGTGAGACTTGGAGAATGATAGCATAAGCTTGGTAGTGAAGCAAGGCATGAGATTGGCATGAAGAAACATGGGCGTATCTTGAATTTGGATTTTATTTTTGGCAAATGGACTTTGTAATTTGTAAATTTTTTTGTGTAAAATTTGTGATTTGGACAATGATTATTGAAAATGGATATGGAAATGAATAGAAAATGTGAATGAAGAAAGAATGGATCTTGAAAGCACGCCTTGAATATCAAGTAAACTATGAACCATGAATCTTCCAACTTGAACCAAATCTAGAATGACACCCGTTCTTGAGAATTTGATGCCATGATGAACTCAAAGATCAATGCCTTCAATCACGCTTTAAAATCACTTGGAAATGACGCACTTGAATGAACACTTTGGACTTGTATCCTAAAACAAACATCTTGATTGAACATCCATAAAACTTGACTTGTACAGACAAAACTCTGAATCTTCGATTTAAACTGAATCATTTCCAATATGTTTGAGTTAATATCTGGGAAAATAAATCCTGGACCGATGAACCTTGACCATAATAGCCCGGGCGAAGCTTCTCATAGAACACTGCTTGAAAATTTGATGAATTATGATATAGGACAACTTGACCTTAAACAGTCACATTGCCTGAGAAAATAGCCCACTGCCATAACCAATTTGCAATTGAAGCAATATCTTGATAGTTTGACCAAGATGAGGTCAAACTTCCATCTGATTTAGACTTGAATAAATGCGTTTGCCATCAATCTCCCTGCAAAACCCCAAACACACAGAAAAGAAGAAGAAACAAACCAATTGAAAAAATATTTTTGGTATTTTGGTTAGAGGTTAGTAAACAGAAACAAACATAAAGCAAGTAGAAAACACAAGTGCGCTGGGAGAACCAAAAAGTATGGTCTTGTTTGCGTATGTAATGATGCAAATGAAATATGGGATCTTAGGGGTAAAAATTAGGGTATTACAGCTGCCCCTATTTAAGATTCTTCTATCCGGAGATAAGAAGATTGACATCTTTGTCTCGACCAGATAGAAGAGACTTAAATATAACACTTAACCCAATTTTTGGCCCTAAGAGACCACAAAATGATATGGTTATGCTAATGGTATGCAAACACAAGACCTCTGTGGGGAGAAAATGCCACAGGAGACAAACAAAAGTTCGGGAGCAAAAGAAGAAAAGAGACTCCACAAGGGAAAACAAAAGAGCAAGATCCTATTCCAATAAAGGAAAGGAAACGACTCAACAGGGAAAGAGATACCAACTGCCAGTTACTGGGCGAATATAGTCGATCCAAAGAGAACAGGTAAAATGCTTCTACTGGTTACTGAGTAGAAAATAAGCGTAATAAACCAAAGGGGGTGAGAATATTACCGACTACCAATCAATAGATAGCACAATAAAGGCAATATACTCAAAAGGTGAAGAAACATTACCGAATACCCAGTACTAGGTAGAAAAATTTGGGTAACAAACTCACAAGGAAAGATTACCGACTACCGATTACTGGGTAGTAAAATACGTCGATAACTGACCAAAAAGGATGAGAAAAATACTCAAAAGGGTGAAGAAACATTACCAGATACCCAGTACTAGGTAGAAAATTTTGGGTAATGAACTCACAAGGAAAGATTACCGACTACCGATTACTGGGTAGAAATATATGTCGATAACTGACCAAAAGGAGGAAAATGCTACCTACTACCTATCACTAGGCAGAAAATAAAGGCAACAAGCTCGGGAGGAAGGATTATCTTTTACCGGTCAAATGGGTAAAGCATAACCAACCAAAAGGGGTGAGAAATATTACCAGTCAATAGAGGTAACATACTCGAAAGGTGAAGAAACATTACCGGATACCCAGTATTAGGTAGAAAAATTTAGGTAATGAACTCACAAGAAATACCTGCTACTAGTCAATGGGCAGCTCAAATCACACAACAAACTTCTCAAATAAAGAGACAACCATTTGTTGGGGTGAGGTTTATCTTGTTGGAGACATACAAGTTGCTCAAATAAAGAGACTGTCACATGAAGTCGCACAAGCAATCACCAAGAGAGTGTTATCAAAACACCGCTGGGGAAATCAAATCTTCATCTTCTGATGGGAATCAATAACAGATTCCTTCCGAGGAAAGTAAATCCTCAAAAATACCTTCTCATCATCCAGGTTTCACAGCCCAGGGAAATCCAAAATAACCGCTGCAAGAGACCAAAGTTCAATCCAGGAACAAACTGGAGAGAAACGGTCAAACAAGACTCGACCCAATGAGGAAATAACTCAACTAGGGAACAATTCCATCCAGATAAAAGCTGGGGCGGAAAGCTAAACAAACATCTTCCACGAGGCATAAACTCAGTGGGGAATTAGAAAGGATAGGTATTTCCTGCTTAAGGGTCGACACTCTAATGGAGAGAGGACACACGCACTCCGCAGGGATAACAACACCGGGAAAAGGGAAACACCAACAAAAAATGCAGGATGCACAATGCAACAAAAACATGCTATGCTCAACCAAAATGAATGCGCATGTAATGCATATGAGTATGAATATGCTGACAAAACAGACAAAAAAGGCAAACAGAGGGTGAACAAAACATCACAACACCACTGAAATACTCGGCTTATCTCAGCAAATTAGAGATATCATTGGAGATCGTGCTGGGGATCAGCAACAGAAACCCTGCAAGAGATACACAAGAGCCATCAAAGGAAAATAAATCCTACTACAAGGCTTAAATATCGCCGAGGAGATAAAGATATCGTTTGGGGAGGAGACCCCAAAGATTAATCTCCACCATCAATAATTCAACAAGAAGGAACAACAATATGAACTCCGCTTTGAGAAAAAAAACGGTTGGAGAAAACGTAGCAACACAAATTTTCTAACCCTGCCAGGGGAATAAGAAGTTAACACCATAGTAAAAAGTCAACCTGTGGGGGATTTTAAATCAACACCCAATCACAAGGTGAGAGAAAACCCGACAAGCGACT